CGTCTTTCAGAATGTGACAGCCTCTGTTCTGGTTTCTACTACTACATGATCATAGTACAACATATGAAAAACTAGGTGCTCATTCAAACTAAAATTATTGGATTGACTAATAATGAGAATGGCGTCCTCTTAGAGATGAGCTGAAACCAAATCCTTCCATGTGAATTCTCCTTGAGATTAGTATTCAAAATCTGGATATGAGTTGCACATCTCTGTGCCTTTCACTAATATGTTGACATGTAATAGACATAAAGGGCGTGTTTACACGTGCATTTAAGGACAACTAAATTTAATGCACATTAAGCTAATGTGCGTTAAGCGATTTTTGGCAGGTGTCTACACATGCAGAGACTTGGCACTAAAATTAGTGCCCTTGCCACTAAAGTTAGTGCCAATCCCTGCAGCCCTGCCACGTACCCCTAGTGGCAAGTCAGAACTGGCACTAAGTTAGTGCCGGGTCATGTCTACACATACATTAATGTGCTTTAACTAATCATTCCTGAATTTGATTCTGCAATTAGCCTAATTTTGCCATTTTTAATGCACATTAAGGGCATGCACGTGTAGATGTGTAACGCTCATTACATTAGGCTAATGTGCACTAATGTGTCTCGTGTAGACACACCAATAGAATATTATTCCCTTACATAGAACTCCTTACTATAGTTACTTTCCCACTAGTGTACTGGGTGATACTGAACAAATCACTATATCTCTCACCTCAGTTCCCCTCTCTGCACAAACAGATGATCATAACAATCATTTCAAATCTTAAAATAAAAACCGTTCCTTTGAAATCAAGACCAGAATCTGCCACATGAATTTGTATAGCATAATAGTTTTCAAAATGTGATGACTCACCTTCATTTGTAGTTCTACCCCATCCAGCAATAGAGCAATTAATTCCTGGCAAAACATTCTTACTTGTTTCTGGTAAGCAAATAGGCTGTATGTAATCTGTGAAAGAAACTTAATCAATTTTTCTTGCTTTTAGTATTCTGGGGTTTTTTTATATCACTAAGCAAAATGCACATCACTCCAATTACTCCTTTCCTTATTTAGGCAAGGCTCCCAAATAGTGTAGGACTGTGACTACAAAGAATCTTTAGCTTGTATAGTACATGTATTCCATAATCCTGTAATATCCAAATAAAATCAGGATAATTAGAGCTGGATCAGTTTAAATCATGCAGATTAAAAGTATCATATAAGAAAATACTAATACCCTTACCTGTAAAATTTACTTTGTATTGAAGATGCATCATGGCAATGTCATTGTTTTTTGTGCGCTTATCATAATGGGGATTTATGATAATTTGATCAATCACTTGAATTACTGTCTGTGGATATGTCAGATTCAAAACAGTATGCAAACCAAGTACAGCATTCCATTTAGATGGTATTAAATTCCTCCTAGACAATAAAATGAATATTCACAATTATTTATAAATAATGAAGATCTTGAAAAATGTCCTATTAAATGTGTTAACTTTTAAACCTGTGACTGTGTGTATATAAATACACACACACACACAAAAACTACTCTCTCTTTATTTATATTTATAAATAGTGCATTGTGTCACATTATCTGAAAAAGTATCCTGTAATTTGACAGTGCTTACAGTTTTCTGATTGCACTGTTGATGTAAAGTTTATTACTACTGGCTTTTTGGTACATTTTTGCCACTGAGGTAATTGTACATTATTTACACTTAACAACTCAGATAATGGCACAATTATCAATATATTCCAACTCAAGTATTACTATTCTTTAATCATATAAATTAAAAATCCCCATGAAATTCATAATCTCCTTAGAAATCATCCCCATAGAAATTTACCAAATATACTGCATACTAAGATGAGGTTTGTGTGGGCACATCTTTTCCGTATGTGTATCAGTACCATAAGAGCATGTTACCAGCTCTGTAAAACACAGGCTGCAGGGAAAGACAGGCTGCAGGTGCAGAGGTGACATGGAGGAGGGGGACAGTAGAGACTGGGGGAGAGTGGGAGAGCAGAGGCTAGGGGGGAGGAGGGGAGGGCCCTCCAAAAATTAGATTCTATACATGTAAAATGATAACAAATTTATACATATTTATAACTAATGATTCAGTTCTAAATTTATGAATAATTATTTGGGACATCTTAAATTCAAGGTCATCTTAGATTTTAGTAAATATGGTAATGTAATACAACTATGAAGACTGAGCATTGCCAGGCTACACAGGGGCATGATAGACTTAAATGAGTTTGTCTTTTCACCTATAACTGGCAAAAAATAAGTTGTATAAAAACAAAGAACAAAACTATTAGAATGAAATAGAAATACAATATTTAAAGTGATGAAAATTTGACACGTTCATTTATTGCTGAGCTGTATACATCATATTTAATTTAGAGACTGCTATGCATTTGGATTTGTTTTGAGTGCCCTTTATACAAGTTGGTTTCCAAAAATTATAAATATGTTTTTAGTCTGGTCAGTTTGGAACATCTGAACAGGTTTTTGCTGATCTTTCAATTTGATTACGTTTTACTTTAATGCTCAGAGATAAGTGTTTAATCCTGCAGCCTTTACTTATTAAATACTCCCAGTGAAGTCAGTGAAATACACTAAAACTATATTTGAGAAACTCTGAAGATAATTAGGGTCTTACCTGAGCAAGAATTAAAGAAGAATCACCTTGTATTATTATTATTATTACCTAGTTATATATAATGGTAGATCTACTGTGGTTTACCTATTCAGGGTACCCCCATCCTCAACTCTTATTATAGACGTAAAAATAACATATTGTAGAAAAGCATTTTAAACTATGCTTCACCTTCTGACATTCTTTTGACATAGTGAAAGACAGGTGACATGCAGGTGTTATAGTTTTGTCAGGGGAACTGCTGCTTTCCAGGTTGAAATTAGGAACATACAAGTGTTCATTCAAGTACTCCCAATTGCTTTGATTTTTCAGGGTCTTTGGAAAGGCTTCCTTGTTCTCCTCCACTCAGGTCCCAGGGGGATAGAACAGAATAAAAGGGTGTTCTGAGTCTGCTTTGGGTCCTACCCAGCTCACCCATCTCACATTTGATGTTCTGCCATTCAGTTACTGTTAGATCTATTACCATTAAATCTGGAAAATTCAGGAAGAGGAGCTTAAACCAACCTACCTATCCTACAATCCCAAGACTGAGGCATATAGAATATGCTATCAGGACTGCATTCAGGTTCTCTGGATTTGGAGCGTCTGGGTACCATAAGTCATTTAATGCCATGCTGGCCAGGAACACAGAAGGAAAAGGGAGTTTAAAAAAACTGCACAGAAGGAAAAGCTGTTCTTCTCCAATTGCCTCCAAGTCTCGACTGGGAAGAGAGTAGAGGAGTTACCAGACTGGGAACTCCCCAGTCTGAGGAATGGGTTGGGGGCTTTGTCCCACTGGTCCACTCTGCTCATGATTCAGTCTATGGGAGGAGAGTAGAGAGGCAGGATGTCCCCAATCTGGGGAAACACAGGGGTTGAGTCCACACATGGTGTGAGTGTTTGGTTCCCTGGGGACAAGTAGCGACGGTGCACCTTGAACTGCCGCTACTTGTCCCCAGGGAACACCCGTGCCATGCATGCTTTGGTGCACAGCAAGTTGCCCTGGGTGGGATAGGGAAGGCTGGGGCCAGCCCTGGGCTGGCTCCAGCAGCCTTACCTGGGGTTCTGGGGTCCTCCCAGAGCTGCAGCAGTAGCAATTCTGCCACACGGAGCCTGGCTGGCAGCCACAGAGTGACTCTGGGTGGCAGCTCCACTTTTGAGAGGCATGCGCTGCTCACGGATGTATAGCTCTGCTTTTTTTTCCCACAGGATTTTTTGACCCCTGGATATCCAAGGGTCAAAAATATCTGTGGAAAAAAAAAAAAGCTGAGCTGTGTATGCATGGGCAGTGCTCCTTTGCAGCGCGGAGAACATCTGAGTGTGCAGTGTGTGGTGCTGCAGATGTGTTTGCGGCACCACATACTGCACAGCCATCCTTTACTGGATGCAGCTAGGGAATCTATCCCTGCTGCTACACTCCCCACTTTCCAGGAATGGGAGGATTAGAGAAGCCACTCCTCAGTCTGGGAAAGAGGTTGAGAGCAGGGGAGAGGGGGCACCTGCAGGCTGAATGTCTGTACTGTTCCCTCTTTTAGAAAGACTTTTAGCAGAGGACATTTCTGAGAAGGCTCTACCACTAAGAATGAATAGCTATTCATACTGGGAGACCCTGTTCTGAGCTGATCTATGCATCAGTACAGATCAATCATGTTTCAGACAACGTGGAATCTACCTTGATAAGATATAACAACATTCCTTACACAAGTTAAATTGTAAGTGAGTAAAGAAAGCACCCCCTTAATTATAGATTAATTATAAATGTTTAGTGTCAATTTAATATATTTAAACACATTTTCAAAAAATATATATATTTTTTACATTCCAATATAAAAATGTATATACACTCTTATAGCTCAAGAAATGTGGCTATGAACAAGTGAAAGAACCACGAGCTTGTTTCCACTGCCTAATAACAATGCAGATCATAATTAAATGATGATCTGGGTTCTTATGTGTTCATATCCCTGACTTCATGTTATCCTTATATTGCTATAGACTTTCTGATGCAAAAATCGGAACAAAACCATGACCTTGCTGTACATGAGATCATCACAATATTAACTTTAAATGGGGAAGAAGGAAAAGAACAAGAGAAATGTTTGAAAAAGCTACAGAAATGTCAAGCAAAAGGTAGGGCAGAGTGGCATCTTAGGGCACCTATACATGAATATGGAGGCTGCTCCAATGTGCTGAAATTCCAGCGCATCAGAGCAGACTTGATTAATTGCTTCTGTTGGAGCATGGCAATTGCTGTGCTCCAACAGCCTCCTGCATCTCATGTATCAACATCCTCACACTTAAAAATGGTGGCAGGGGTGCCTGAACTAAAGCTTGTCAAATGAGCTTTAGTTCAACCCCCCCTGCCATTTTAAAGCATGGGAACATGCATGGGAACACTGATACATAAGATGCAGCAATGCTTTAATTAGATCAGTTCTCAAAACTAGTCTAATTGAAGCTCCGCTCCCCCTCCCAACTCCCAGAGCATGTGTAAAAATGCCCCTAGACGCTAAGCATCTGAACAAGTAGAGTGTTGCCTACAAAAGCCCATGCCTCTATGAGCCTTTTAGTCTCTAAACTGCCACCTTGCCCTACGTTCTGCATGACTTCAGACTAACATAGCTAACCACCTGTCCAGAAATGTCAAGAATCTGTTACACATTTACCATTTTTATTCCACTTACTTTCCACTGATGGCATTCCAATCGGTTTTATTATTTCATAGGATTTTCAAGAACTTGATCTGAATAATTTATCTGATGGGTCTAACAGACCATTAAATAATTCATTTTCAAGTTTGGAAATGCATAAACAATGACAGTGGTTAAAAAAACAAAATAATTTAAGCATGAAAATTTACTTAGCAGCAGGGAAAAAAATAGCGTGGTATTAAAAATCCAGACATAGGCCCCCTTTCTGCAGTTGGAATCTATATAAGTACAAGAATTGCTCTGTGCAAACCATGTTCTGTCAGGGTACTTGCATTTGCTGTGAGGCGGGGTCATTATGATTGATGTATTAACTCAAGGACAAAGTAAACATTACCCATATACACAGTGTGCTGCCGAGACCAGCCATTCATCATTGACAAGGGAAGCTCCACAAAGATGTCTGTTATTATAATGTAGTGAGACTATCCAAGGCCAAGCGCCTATGTTGGCATCATTTCCTCCTACAATCCTTGCACTGTTCTTCTGAGTTATCAGCGTTTTTCCACATGCTAAAAGTACAAAGCATAAAAAAAGAAGGGGAGGTGGGGGGAATCTGAAATGAGTTGAACATTTTTTAAAGATGAGTCCAAGATGTCCATTTAAAAACTGAGATTAGAACAAATGATCCTTTATATATGGGAGATCTTGAATAATTGTTTTGGGCTTAGACTGATCTTTAATGTAACTTCAAGGAACACAAAATGTTCCTGTTTTTAATTAATGTTCAAGTACCTCTTATACTTTGCCACTAAAATCACTGAAACCATGTATACATGGATTTTCTGGACTGGAATAATTTGATTTTGAAAGTTAAATTATTTCCTATTTACTTACGTTTATTGTTACACTGCAGATGAATCACTAAGTTATTGAGACACTGTTTGCTAGAATGAAAAACACAGGCAAATCAATTAACTGGCTATAGACTGTATAACACTACATGAGCTTCATATAACCTTATTTTTCACAACCAAACTTTCTTACTTGACACTAATAGCATACCAGTAATATATGGTATTTTAGCTGTACTACCCAGTCCTGAAATATGTATTTTTCCTATTGGAAATATAAAACATGGCTATCGCATACAAAGTTTCCCCTTTAAAGGACACTGGATTAAACGCTGTATATTATAGTAATGAGTAGCCTAATGTTTTAGAGAAACAAGTTCTCCCTATATAACATTTTAAAAATAAAAGCAACCCAGTATGTTTTTTCTTATGACTTTTAGGTGTTTGCAAAATCTTGCCACTAGAGATCAGTGTAACCAAAGAATTTTTAAATAAGTTAGATAGTGTGTAGCTTTTTATTGAGATGCTGCTGCATTGTGTAGACTATATGTGGACACACATCACATAGAAATTTAAGAAATATTTAGCAAAGATATAAAACTAGACCCCTGAAGAGCAAGAGACCACAGATCAAAACTACTCAAGCATTTCTGATACCCAGAGGCTTTAATATTATTTCCTTCGTTTGTAATGAATCTGAGCACTGGGACAGTGCCTGTGCCACCAATTAAATCTGATACATACAAAAATATATCAGGAAAGGAAGTCAGCCAAGGATGAGTTTACAGCACAAGTTTTTCTACACTCTTTTTCTAAACAGATTAAAATAGGGTGATTTTATATATATGTGTGTGTGTGTGTATTAAAATTTCTTCAGTAAACAACAACATCTGAACCAATATTGTAATTTAGCATTAGTTTATAATTTCTGCATTTCAGCCTCATTCTATTCCAAGTCTTCTGCATAATCCCTAAAATGTAATTTACAAAGGCAAGGCCAAATTCTGTTGTTTTTATCCAAATTCCCATAGACTTCATCAGACCATGCAACCCCCCTGGGCACTTAGTCACCTGCCAGGAAAGTTGGTAATGATGGTGCAGAAATGTGAGAGGGGAACATATCTGATCCTGCAGAAATGTGTAACACCTAGGAACTTTTGTGAATTAATTACTTCTTCATAAAAGTGCTATACATCAGTACAATAGGAGGCAGAAGATGCATGAACAATCTACCCTTTATGCCAGGGGTTGTCAATCGGGGGTACATGTATCCCCAGGGGTACTTGGGAAGGCCCTAAGGAGTATGCGCAGGCAGGCAGGGACAGAGCATCACTGCCTCCCAGGAGCAGGGCCAGGGCAGCAACACCTTTCTGTGGGCCACACAAGCTCCACCTGGCCAGTCAGAGTGGGGGGGAGGGAAATTTGCATGCAGCTGAAGGGG